AACGCGCTCGAGAACCCTTTGAAAGTGGTGAGAGAGGATAACAACTCTGGCTCGGGGTCGTCGAGGCTGAGGACGAACTCGTCGAGAGGGTCTTGGAACGCTGCTATATTCGGGAGCTGGAGGCAGAGCGCGTCGGATGTAACCGCGGGACAAGTTGGAGGAGGAGGAGCAATCGGTGGTGGTGGTGGTAACAGCGGTTTGAGAAACTCGGGGTCACAAGGGAGTAGTGGAAGGAATAATAATAACAATGGGAATTCGTCGTCGAGGAGACGGCAGTCTAGTGAGATTGTGCCGGAGCCGGCTGTTTATGGAGAAGATGTATGAGAGCTCCTCCGGTGAAGAGTTTGAGATTTTTATGATTCGTTTTTTCATCGATTCTTTTGTGTCGATAATAATAGAGGCAAAGAGAGAGTCCTCAGCGTAGAGCTTATGTTAGAAGGGAGTATTGTTTTTCTTTTATTTTGTCTTTTAATTTTGGGTTAGGATTGGTTTGGAGTTAGCATTTGTAGTTCTCTTTTTTGGTTCAACTGGATTTTGTAAATTGTAATTCTTGGAGGTTGGATTTTCCTTGGTTTCTTTCTTAACCGGGGGAAATAATTGAAGATTGGGTTCGTTTTATTCAGTTCCACTTTCTTTTTCTATTTTAGATGATCGTTAACTATTTAATTTGCACATGCGGAAGGTCAAAAATATAAAATGAGAAGAAAAAGTGAAATTCAGGTTCTACCGAGAATTGAGGAGACGGCAGTCTAGTGAGAAACAGCGGTTTGAGAATGAACCTAGATGGACCCATACTAATGTTTATCCTCATAATAATGAACAGCGGTTCTCCACATTATTATGAGGAGCAATCGGTGGTGGTGGTGGTAACAGCGGTTTGAGAAACTCGGGGTCACAAGGGAGTAGTGGAAGGAATAATAATAACAATGGGAATTCGTCGTCGAGGAGACGGCAGTCTAGTGAGATTGTGCCGGAGCCGGCTGTTTATGGAGAAGATGTATGAGAGCTCCTCCGGTGAAGAGTTTGAGATTTTTATGATTCGTTTTTTCATCGATTCTTTTGTGTCGATAATAATAGAGGCAAAGAGAGAGTCCTCAGCGTAGAGCTTATGTTAGAAGGGAGTATTGTTTTTCTTTTATTTTGTCTTTTAATTTTGGGTTAGGATTGGTTTGGAGTTAGCATTTGTAGTTCTCTTTTTTGGTTCAACTGGATTTTGTAAATTGTAATTCTTGGAGGTTGGATTTTCCTTGGTTTCTTTCTTAACCGGGGGAAATAATTGAAGATTGGGTTCGTTTTATTCAGTTCCACTTTCTTTTTCTATTTTAGATGATCGTTAACTATTTAATTTGCACATGGGGAAGGTCAAAAATATAAAATGAGAAGAAAAAGTGAAATTCAGGTTCTACCGAGAATTGAGGAGACGGCAGTCTAGTGAGAAACAGCGGTTTGAGAATGAACCTAGATGGACCCATACTAATGTTTATCCTCATAATAATGAACAGCGGTTCTCCACATTATTATGAGGAGCAATCGGTGGTGGTGGTGGTAACAGCGGTTTGAGAAACTCGGGGTCACAAGGGAGTAGTGGAAGGAATAATAATAACAATGGGAATTCGTCGTCGAGGAGACGGCAGTCTAGTGAGATTGTGCCGGAGCCGGCTGTTTATGGAGAAGATGTATGAGAGCTCCTCCGGTGAAGAGTTTGAGATTTTTATGATTCGTTTTTTCATCGATTCTTTTGTGTCGATAATAATAGAGGCAAAGAGAGAGTCCTCAGCGTAGAGCTTATGTTAGAAGGGAGTATTGTTTTTCTTTTATTTTGTCTTTTAATTTTGGGTTAGGATTGGTTTGGAGTTAGCATTTGTAGTTCTCTTTTTTGGTTCAACTGGATTTTGTAAATTGTAATTCTTGGAGGTTGGATTTTCCTTGGTTTCTTTCTTAACCGGGGGAAATAATTGAAGATTGGGTTCGTTTTATTCAGTTCCACTTTCTTTTTCTATTTTAGATGATCGTTAACTATTTAATTTGCACATGGGGAAGGTCAAAAATATAAAATGAGAAGAAAAAGTGAAATTCAGGTTCTACCGAGAATTGAGGAGACGGCAGTCTAGTGAGAAACAGCGGTTTGAGAATGAACCTAGATGGACCCATACTAATGTTTATCCTCATAATAATGAACAGCGGTTCTCCACATTATTATGAGGAGCAATCGGTGGTGGTGGTGGTAACAGCGGTTTGAGAAACTCGGGGTCACAAGGGAGTAGTGGAAGGAATAATAATAACAATGGGAATTCGTCGTCGAGGAGACGGCAGTCTAGTGAGATTGTGCCGGAGCCGGCTGTTTATGGAGAAGATGTATGAGAGCTCCTCCGGTGAAGAGTTTGAGATTTTTATGATTCGTTTTTTCATCGATTCTTTTGTGTCGATAATAATAGAGGCAAAGAGAGAGTCCTCAGCGTAGAGCTTATGTTAGAAGGGAGTATTGTTTTTCTTTTATTTTGTCTTTTAATTTTGGGTTAGGATTGGTTTGGAGTTAGCATTTGTAGTTCTCTTTTTTGGTTCAACTGGATTTTGTAAATTGTAATTCTTGGAGGTTGGATTTTCCTTGGTTTCTTTCTTAACCGGGGGAAATAATTGAAGATTGGGTTCGTTTTATTCAGTTCCACTTTCTTTTTCTATTTTAGATGATCGTTAACTATTTAATTTGCACATGGGGAAGGTCAAAAATATAAAATGAGAAGAAAAAGTGAAATTCAGGTTCTACCGAGAATTGAGGAGACGGCAGTCTAGTGAGAAACAGCGGTTTGAGAATGAACCTAGATGGACCCATACTAATGTTTATCCTCATAATAATGAACAGCGGTTCTCCACATTATTATGAGGAGCAATCGGTGGTGGTGGTGGTAACAGCGGTTTGAGAAACTCGGGGTCACAAGGGAGTAGTGGAAGGAATAATAATAACAATGGGAATTCGTCGTCGAGGAGACGGCAGTCTAGTGAGATTGTGCCGGAGCCGGCTGTTTATGGAGAAGATGTATGAGAGCTCCTCCGGTGAAGAGTTTGAGATTTTTATGATTCGTTTTTTCATCGATTCTTTTGTGTCGATAATAATAGAGGCAAAGAGAGAGTCCTCAGCGTAGAGCTTATGTTAGAAGGGAGTATTGTTTTTCTTTTATTTTGTCTTTTAATTTTGGGTTAGGATTGGTTTGGAGTTAGCATTTGTAGTTCTCTTTTTTGGTTCAACTGGATTTTGTAAATTGTAATTCTTGGAGGTTGGATTTTCCTTGGTTTCTTTCTTAACCGGGGGAAATAATTGAAGATTGGGTTCGTTTTATTCAGTTCCACTTTCTTTTTCTATTTTAGATGATCGTTAACTATTTAATTTGCACATGGGGAAGGTCAAAAATATAAAATGAGAAGAAAAAGTGAAATTCAGGTTCTACCGAGAATTGAGGAGACGGCAGTCTAGTGAGAAACAGCGGTTTGAGAATGAACCTAGATGGACCCATACTAATGTTTATCCTCATAATAATGAACAGCGGTTCTCCACATTATTATGAGGAGCAATCGGTGGTGGTGGTGGTAACAGCGGTTTGAGAAACTCGGGGTCACAAGGGAGTAGTGGAAGGAATAATAATAACAATGGGAATTCGTCGTCGAGGAGACGGCAGTCTAGTGAGATTGTGCCGGAGCCGGCTGTTTATGGAGAAGATGTATGAGAGCTCCTCCGGTGAAGAGTTTGAGATTTTTATGATTCGTTTTTTCATCGATTCTTTTGTGTCGATAATAATAGAGGCAAAGAGAGAGTCCTCAGCGTAGAGCTTATGTTAGAAGGGAGTATTGTTTTTCTTTTATTTTGTCTTTTAATTTTGGGTTAGGATTGGTTTGGAGTTAGCATTTGTAGTTCTCTTTTTTGGTTCAACTGGATTTTGTAAATTGTAATTCTTGGAGGTTGGATTTTCCTTGGTTTCTTTCTTAACCGGGGGAAATAATTGAAGATTGGGTTCGTTTTATTCAGTTCCACTTTCTTTTTCTATTTTAGATGATCGTTAACTATTTAATTTGCACATGGGGAAGGTCAAAAATATAAAATGAGAAGAAAAAGTGAAATTCAGGTTCTACCGAGAATTGAGGAGACGGCAGTCTAGTGAGAAACAGCGGTTTGAGAATGAACCTAGATGGACCCATACTAATGTTTATCCTCATAATAATGAACAGCGGTTCTCCACATTATTATGAGGAGCAATCGGTGGTGGTGGTGGTAACAGCGGTTTGAGAAACTCGGGGTCACAAGGGAGTAGTGGAAGGAATAATAATAACAATGGGAATTCGTCGTCGAGGAGACGGCAGTCTAGTGAGATTGTGCCGGAGCCGGCTGTTTATGGAGAAGATGTATGAGAGCTCCTCCGGTGAAGAGTTTGAGATTTTTATGATTCGTTTTTTCATCGATTCTTTTGTGTCGATAATAATAGAGGCAAAGAGAGAGTCCTCAGCGTAGAGCTTATGTTAGAAGGGAGTATTGTTTTTCTTTTATTTTGTCTTTTAATTTTGGGTTAGGATTGGTTTGGAGTTAGCATTTGTAGTTCTCTTTTTTGGTTCAACTGGATTTTGTAAATTGTAATTCTTGGAGGTTGGATTTTCCTTGGTTTCTTTCTTAACCGGGGGAAATAATTGAAGATTGGGTTCGTTTTATTCAGTTCCACTTTCTTTTTCTATTTTAGATGATCGTTAACTATTTAATTTGCACATGGGGAAGGTCAAAAATATAAAATGAGAAGAAAAAGTGAAATTCAGGTTCTACCGAGAATTGAGGAGACGGCAGTCTAGTGAGAAACAGCGGTTTGAGAATGAACCTAGATGGACCCATACTAATGTTTATCCTCATAATAATGAACAGCGGTTCTCCACATTATTATGAGGAGCAATCGGTGGTGGTGGTGGTAACAGCGGTTTGAGAAACTCGGGGTCACAAGGGAGTAGTGGAAGGAATAATAATAACAATGGGAATTCGTCGTCGAGGAGACGGCAGTCTAGTGAGATTGTGCCGGAGCCGGCTGTTTATGGAGAAGATGTATGAGAGCTCCTCCGGTGAAGAGTTTGAGATTTTTATGATTCGTTTTTTCATCGATTCTTTTGTGTCGATAATAATAGAGGCAAAGAGTAATGTGGAGAACCTAATAATCCATGTTTGGGTTATTATGGGTCTATCAAGTTCATCTTATACACTACAAGTGAGTTTACACAATGTGGAGGCGCAGAGGTACATTTCGGACTCCTTACCTCTTCTGGTTCCCAGATATGGTCCATTTGATGTTCCTCCCTTGGATTGAGACCGTTTCATTCATGTTTGTCCTCATAGTAATGTGGAGAACCTAATAATCCATGTTTGGGTTATTATGGGTCTATCAAGTTCATCTTATACACTACAAGTGAGTTTACACAATGTGGAGGCGCAGAGGTACATTTCGGACTCCTTACCTCTTCCGGTTCCCAAATTTGGTCCATTTGATGTTCCTCCCTTGGATTGAGACCGTTTCACTCATGTTTGTCCTCATAGTAATGTATAGAACCTAATAATCCATGTTTGGGTAAGTGGGTCCATCTAGTTCGTCTTATACACTACAAGTGAGTTTCCTCAATCTGGGGTCACAGAGGTACATTTTGGACTCCTTACCCCTTCCGGTTCCCAAATTTGGTCCATTTGATGTTCCTCCCTTGGATTGAGACCGTTTCAGTCATGATTGGTTCTCCACATTACTATGAGGACAAGCATGAGTGAAACGGTCTCAATCCATGGGAAGAACATCAAGTGGACCAAATTTGGGAACTAGAAGAGGTAAGGAGTCCGAAATGTACTTCTGTGCCTCCACATTGTGGAAAATCACTTGTAGTGTATAAGATAAACTAGAAGGACCCATACTAACCCAAAAACGGATTAATAGGTTCTCCACATTACTATGAAGACAAACATGAGTGAAACGGTCTCAATCCAAGGGAGGAACATCAAATAGACCTAATTTGGGAACCGGAAGAGGTAAGGAGTCCGAAATGTACCTCTGTGACTCCACATTGTGGAAACTCACTTGTAGTGTATAAGATGAACTAGATGGACCCATAATTACCCAAACATGGATTAATAGGTTCTCCACATTACTATGAGGACAAACATAAGTGAAACGGTCTCAATCCAAGGGAGGAACATCAAATGGACCAAATTTGGGAACCCGAAGAGGTAAGGAGTCCGAAATGTACCTCTGTGCCTCCACATTGTGGAAACTCACTTGTAGTGTATAAGATGAACTACATGGACCCATACTTACCAAAATGGATTAATAGGTTCTACACATGACTATGAGGACAAACATGAGTGAAACGGTCTCAATCCAAGGGAGGAACATCAAATGGACCAAATTTGGGAACCGGAAGAGGTAAGGAGTCCGAAATGTACCTCTGTGACTCCACATTGTGGAAACTCACTTGTAGTGTATAAGATGAACTAGATGGACCCATACTTACCAAAACATGGATTAATAGCTTCTACACATGACTATGAGGACAAACATGAGTGAAACGGTCTCAATCCAAGGGAGGAACATCAAATGGACCAAATTTGGGAACCGGAAGAGGTAAGGAGTCCGAAATGTACCTCTGTGCCTCCACATTGTGGAAACTCACTTGTAGTGTATAAGATGAACTAGATGGACCCATACTTACCCAAACATGGATTAATAGCTTCTACACATGACTATGAGGACAAACATGAGTGAAACGGTCTCAATCCAAGGGAGGAACATCAAATGGACCAATTTGGGAACCGGAAGAGGTAAGGAGTCCGAAATGTACCTCTGTGCCTCCACATTGTGGAAACTCACTTGTAGTGTATAAGATGAACTAGATGGACCCATACTTACCAAACATGGATTAATAGCTTCTACACATGACTATGAGGACAAACATGAGTGAAACGGTCTCAATCCAAGGGAGGAACATCAAATGGACCAAATTTGGGAACCGGAAGAGGTAAGGAGTCCGAAATGTACCTCTGTCCCTCCACATTGTGGAAACTCACTTGTAGTGTATAAATGGAACTAGATGGACCTATACTTACCAAAACATGGATTAATACCTCTTGTAGGTGGATTAGAATCTCAATCCCAGGCGCGATGATCCCGGTTAATTGACTTGAGGATTAGTTTCTAAGGACACATTTATGAACAAATAATGTAAAGATGGACCAAACGTTCTCAAGAAGAAGAAAAAAAAAAGATGACAACACGATGTGACATGAGTAACACAATACTGCATTAGCTTAAAGAATGTTCTTACAAGGAGGTGACTATAGGTGGCGTTGAAAATATCTGAACTGTTGCAGTTTAAACCATCCCACATGAACTGTTTAGGGACACATGGATCTCTACTTTGTATACCCTTGAAAGCAACAACTAGAATATTTTTTTGTTAGAATTAACGCATAAAATTAATGTAATGATTAATATAGGGAAAAATCGATAAAGACATAGTATATAGTATATACCATCATCTTGATTTGTTTCCAGCTTGATACAGGAAAGAAGTAAAGAGAGTTAAGCTAAACGACGAGTTTTGCAGAGTAAACAAAACGCTACGTTTTAATATTTGTTGCATTTTTCATTATAAGAGTTTGTAATGTCACTTAGAAACTTTTAATCGAGATTATTACAGAAAAGTTGTCTTCTTCTCCAAACCTCTATTCTCTCTGAAACTGAGATCATTGTTGCCTGAGATTCCTTTCTTTCGTCGGATTCGTGAGCTCGGAATTTGTGTGTTTTCGAACATAGATTCCCTTTCTGTCGGTTACTTAAGCGATTACTAAGTTTCCTCTATCACCAGCTGCGGGAAATCGATCACGGTGAAAAGCTCGAGAGCATTAATGAGTGAGAGTAGATTTGGGCGTTTTCGTTAGGGAGAGAGAGAGAGAGAGTGACGACGATGGAGATATTCAGAGATCTTCCAGAGGAATTGGTGGAGGAGGAGATACTGACTCAAGTCCCGGCTAAGTATCTGAACGGATTGAGATCTACTTGTCAACGATGGAACCGTCTGTTTAGCAGTGACCGCAGATTCGGAAGGAAGCACGGCGACAAAGCCGCAAAGCAGTTTGTGGTTCTCATGTTGACGAATTTCTTCAGGGTTTGTCCGGCAATCGTCAATCTCGACGGAAAGGTTCCAACTTTCGAGGTAAAAACAGAGCTTAGCCTAGTAGATCCGCATTCTGAGCATCCCGGAGCTCAATTCGATGTGTACAGAGTCTTTCACTGCGACGGCCTCTTGTTATGCACCTCCGAGGACGCGTCTAGGTTCGTGGTTTGGAACCCGTTAACTGGTGAAACCAGATGGTTCCAACCCAGCTCTGGTGGCACGATAGGCCGTGGCTTTGCCCTCGGATACGGCAAAAACAAGAGCTACAAAATCTTGAGCTATTATCGTGGTAGGAAAGATTATGAAATGTACGAGTTCAGCTCTGATTCGTGGAGGGTGGTTGGTGATATCTTGCCTCCAGGCTTCACCCTTAGATACTCGAGTATCACCGTGTCTTTGCAGGGAAGTGCTTACTGGGTCGCTTATGATGAACCAACAACGCAAATCATCAAGTTTGATTTCTCAACAGAGAAATGTCTACTTGTGCCTCTTCCCTATCCATCGCAGCCTGATGGTCGTTTTGAAGTTTTAAGGCTTACCAATGTGAAAGACGAGAAACTTGCGCTCTTGGTACAGCTCGACGATACATCCAAGACTGAGATATGGGTGACGAATAAGATTGACGAGACCAACAGCCAGGTGGTGTCGTGGAACATGGTTTTAGCATTGGATCTGAGCCCGCATAATGATGTTCAAGTTTATGACGAGGGGAGTTTCTTGTTCGACGAGGAGAAGAAAGTCGTCGTGGTTTCTGAGCAGTGGTTTGACTTTGAAGTTGAAGAGGAGGACCTGGGGCAGAACAAAGACATGATATACATTGCTGGGGAGGACAATGTAGTCACACAAGTGGATTTTGGACTAGATGGACCGAATCAATGTGTGTCAGGTATCCTAAATTATGTTCCGAGTTTTGTTCAAATGGAGCAAGCTGGAGGCAAAAGGAAAAGAGCTGACCTCTCTGATATGTAATCTCATTTCTTCTTCTTGTCCCTTGTCTCTATTTATCTCCAATGATGCCTGCATGTAATCTAAAGCAGAGTGACAAAAGTGATTCACAAAACATCTCTCCACAAGTGCTATGCTGCTAACATATTAAGAAAGGTAATGCCTTTTTTTTGTGTGTGTGTGTGTGTGTTTATATACGCTTTGATGCTCACAACGAGATTATTACCTTGATAAAGTCTTTATCCTATTTTAATCTCAAATTCATATAATACAAGTACAGATTATTTGTTTAAATAAAAAAAAATCTGTCTCAAGAAGAACATGTCAGCTTAAAACAAAGCTTTGTACTCACAATAACCACACATTTTCCATATACATATGCTATTATGTGTTGCTTGCTGCACAAAACCAGTATCTATTACATAGCCAGTCTTAATATAGTACAACTTCTTCTGACGGGCATGATCTTAACTCTAAGTTGTTGTACCCATTCTAGAAGCAACATACGACACAAGTAAGAGACTAACAAGCTCAAGAAACAACAAGCAACCTTAACAGAAATATTAACAGAACTTCAAAGATTAAACAAAGAAAAACAAACTAAGATTACACTGTAGCAAGTAATCAATGCAAATCTGGGTGGATTCGAAACCACCATCCTCTCAACTTCCAAAGAAGAAGAAGAGCGTTCTACCATTTTGAGCTTACAGATCTATTATCTACATAATATGACATTCTCTCTCTCTTTCACTCGCACACAGAATGTCATAATCCTATATATAATATATCACTAGAACAATAGAAATCTGATAGACTCGGAATGACAAAATCTATCCAAAGATGATAGAAAGGATAACAAGAGAAATAAAGAAATAGAGATGAGAATCAGAAGAAATGGTGAGAAGGTTTGGTTGATTTCTGAGAGAACCACTCTCGGTCTTTGTTGATAAGTAATGTGATGCCTTTGAAGTTTGAACAAACATGCAAACCATGAAAACGAATTGTTTATTTTTAGATAAGCTAGTAATTACCGTGTGAACTCAAAAACTAAGCTCATCATCAAAACGAATTGTTTAATTTTGGTCAATGGAATTGGTAACTAGATTTGATCACTGTCATTAATATATTGCCAAGTCCTCTACTTAAACAACTTGTTGCAGTTTACTTTTCTCTCTTCCCAGGCCCAGCTATATAATCATCTTCTCAC